CGCCAGAATCCCAGCAAGTTTTCTCTTGGGATGGGGGTCCAAACTTGGCAGGGCTCCTCACGAGTCTGATGTTTCAATTGTCGTTTCCGATGCGTCTACTTCTGGGCTCGGTGGTCTGGTTGTAGGCGAAGGCAAGGCGTATTGGTACCGGCTGTATCTGGAATCCCCAGACTCATCCATCGTCAGCCAGTTTGTGGAGCCATCCAACTGGGACTCATGGGAGTCTTCTGATATATGCTCGCTGGTATTGTGTGGCTGCTCGGTAGCTTCAGCGGATAGGCCAGTTGTCATACTATGCGACAATGTGTCGGCTGTTGCTGCCATCAACAAGCTGTCCGCCAAGTCACCGAGAATGAATAGGCTACTCAGGAACCTCGCCAAGGCCTGGGGGTACAGCCGAGGACTCCGAGCGTATCACTTGCCCACGCAGGACAATTGGTTGGCCGATAGCTTGTCGAGGCAGAGCCCGCGGCAGGTTGAAGAGTATCTGATTGGAGCGAGTATGAGCCAGATTGATATGCAGACGGTAACTACCAACTTGAAGATGCTGTGCTGTGAGGAGCCGTAGGCAGCAGCTCGAAGCCAAGAGAGGAGCATTCCGTGATCCCTGAGTGTGCCCTGCTCTGTTTCTGACACAAATAGATGATTGCGTTGAGCCAGTTATTACGCACCTCGAATTTCGCAGGGGGGATTACATATGGCTGCCGCTTACAGCTCGTTTTACTTAGCGGAACTCGCCAGTAAGCTGCCACTCTCAATGCCTCCGCCTGCGTGGGTTGTCGAACTGCTCCATGATAAACGTCGTGTTTACGAGATGAGGCGGTGCCGGTGGGATGCTAGCAGAACTCCTGGACTGTATGATAAGAGCAGTCCGTATCAATCCTATCGTAACCAGCAGCTGCCAGCGAATGCTGGAGGTACCCTACATTTTCAGTCGATCGTGAGCGACCAAACCCAAGTCTGTAACCGTGATTGCTGTCACGGGGAGAAGGCCCTTCAACCTGTGGCTGCCTGTCAGAGCCGTAGATATGGTGAAGAAGACGCTATCCTACTCCTTGCCCATTCTCGGGCAGCGTCAACGAACGCTTCGTACGACTCTGTGAGACGCGGGTACGAGCGGTTTGTGGCGAATAATCAAGATCGATATTCCGCATGCGACCCCTTCCCAATCGATTTGCTGATGTTGGCGAAATATGCTGCTTACCTTGTTGACGTGATGTGCGAACGTCCGGAGAAGCCCTACAAGACCTCCACAATTCTGCAGTACATTCGTGTGCTCCTTACGCTGAACAAGATGCATCCGCGTGCCCGGCCTTTCACTGTACAAGAAGCCGAAATCCTACGGATGGTGCGAGCAGCGACTGTCAGAGTAAGAGGGAAGACGCCCGTAAAGCGGGCCTGCACAATGACCGCGACTCAGCTCCGCAGAATCTCCTACACCGTCCCGCCTTCTGGGAGGCGTCCCAGCACAGTAGCTCTCCTCCTAGGGGTCTCCGCTCTACTGAGGATTCGCGAGGTAGCTGAGCTCCGACGGGATGATGTGAAATTTGCGCCGAATGGCACGTCGTTGCGTATCCGGATCAAATGGAGCAAGACTGACCCCGGGCGGGCTGGTTCTCTGCTCCACGTGGGATGTGCATGTTCGCCAGCGACTACGCTGCGGCGACGCAGCTACCCACGGTGTCCTATTCATCGGCTGAAGCAATTGCTCTACGACGCGGATGACCCAGCTCCGTACGGACCTCTCTTCAAAGCGACATACGATCAGCTTTGTGACGACATCAAAGCCCTCGTCAGTCTGGCAACGGGCCTCCAGGAGGGTTGCACCACGCAAAGCATGCGCAGAACCGGGGTGGTGTTGCTGCATGACGCCGGCTTCGACGACGTCCAGATAGCCGAGTATGGAAGATGGGTGGACACACGCATGGTGCGTGAGATCTATAGGAGGAATAGGACAGGCCTAGAGGAAGAGCAAGCGACTTACGCTGAGCGAATGATGTGAGCAATACATTGAGGTCCCGCGTGACATTCTGCCGCCGAAGTTGTACTGTGTGTGATAGAGTTTCGGCAGTTTAAAGTGGTGATCCTTGTCTTGCTTAGTCTATACCAGGGCTGAGATGAGCGCATCGAACACCGCTCGGAGAAAACGTTCGAAGAGTGTGGTAAGGATGGGGAGATGTCTAACGATGGTGAACAGTTCACCGTGAACTTGATTTTACCAACTCAACCGCAATAACGGTGTGACACTATCGTAAGACATGGACAGCACCAATGCCTCGACCATTGATCGGATAACAAGCATTCAAACATTGAGTGCTATCCCCTTCCGCACACCCCCGCACCATGGATTTTTATTGTTAGCGGAGAGAATTGCAGCGATAGTAAAAACACGCAGGACGAGATGTGTGCGTGCGCAGCTTTGTGACATCATGAGACCGCACAGCGAAGAAACGCCGTCGCTGTTCATGCGTTCAGAGACATGGTGTTACTTTGAGTAGAGTGGCTAAAAACGCAGCACAGTGGCGCTCATGCTGTCAGATTTTTAATCCTAGGTAGGGAGATGTCTAACGATGGTGAACAGTTCACCGTGAACTTGATTTACCAACTCAACCGCAATAACGGTGTGGCACTATCGTAAAGATTACGGACAGCACCAATGCCTCGACCATTGATCGGATAACAAGCATTCAAGCATTGAGTGCTATCCCCTTCCCACACTCCCGTACCATGGGTTTTTAGTGGCTGTGTGGTCTAGTGGTATGATTCTCGCTTCGGGTGCGAGAGAGTTCTCATCTTCGCTTTTTTTAGGCCTCTCTTTCGGTCAAAAAGCTTACTTATGGTCTACGGGTCAGAATGTCGCTAAGACGGCGAGAGGTCTCGAGTCCGATGCTCGACTCAGCCCGCGATTAGCTGTCTTGCTGCTGAGCTCTACCTATATAGTAGACGGGCATTTAAGATCACGGAGCCTCACCGGGATCACGGAATGAGATGTCTCTTCAGCCCTGCTGGAATGGTCTACTTGGTTATGACGACTGCCTAACACGCAATAGGTCCCGAGTTCGACTCTCGGTTCCAGTATTGCACCATCATTCGAAATATGCATTAGATCATGCGTCGAGTTGGAGTTGCTACGGCGTCTTCGGAGGCGCGCGGCTTCAAGCGACAGACACAGAAGCGCGCAAGCTTCCTCTATGAATTCATTTTTGTGGGTGTGTGGTCTAGTGGTAAGATTCTCGCTTAGGGTGCGGGAGGTCTCGAGTGCGATTCTCGACTCAGCCCACGATTAGGTGTCTTGCTGCTGAGCACGGCCTTTAAAGCATCGTTGCACACGATCGCACATTCACCCGCCGTCGATGTCCCCTGAAGCTGCTGTCCCATGCCGCACTCTTCCATAACATATTCTTCGGTGACACCGTTGGGAACGGACATCGACGGCTCCCTTGGTAGCCCCTCTGGGCTTGGGGGTCTACTTTAACAGATCACCAGTGTATAATAGTAAATGGTTTATTACCTAGGAGAGTTGGGTAGTTGGTTCGGTGAAAGATGTTGGCGTACTATACCGCTGCTGCCAGCAGCCCTGCTGGCATACCGCCCACAGCGACGATCAGTAGCCAACGAACTCGGAGATCCCTGACTGGCCCGAGTTCCGCACCCTGCTGACAGCGTCAGGCCAACAATGCTGCACTTCGAGCCCAGGCCTTCGACTGTCAGCGAAAGGGTGTCTTTTCCCGAACCGCCCATGTTGACCGCGACAGCACCATGCGTATTGTAGGCATGCTGTGCTGCGACCTGAACAGCGATGATCGATCGCTGTACATCCTCCGCGGCGCAACATAGGCCTCCCTAGATAACATGGGATGAGGGAGGGATGGGTAAAATCGTGGAGGCACTCAGGTCTCTGTCCCCATAAGTTCCTCTCCCAATCGCGATCGCGCGCGCCTCGCTTTAAACTCGCCCAATAAATTGACCGGTCAAATATAGTAGACGGGCATTTAAGATCACGGAGCTCACCGGGACCACGGAATGAGATGTCTCTCCAGCTTGCTGGAATGGTCTAGTTGGTTATGACGACTGCCTAACACGCAGTAGGTCCCGAGTTCGACTCTCGGTTCCAGTATTGCACCATCATTCGAAATATGCGTTAGATCATGCGCCGTTTTGGAGTTGCTACCGCGTCTTCGAATGCGGACGGTTTCTAGCGACTGCATCTGGGGCACCGAAGCCCCTGCTACATACACGCCGGTGTGCCTGTGTGTTCTAGTGCTATGATTCTCGCTTCGGGTGCGAGAGGTCTCGAGTCCGATTCTCAACTCAGCCCGCGATCAGCTGTCTTGCTGCTGAGCTCTATTTATATAGTAGACGGGCATTTAAGATCACGGAGCTCACCGGGACCACGGAATGAGATGTCACTTCAGCTTGCTGGAATGGTCTAGTTGGTTATGACGACTGCCTAACACGCAGTAGGTCCCGAGTTCGACTCTCGGTTCCAGTATTGCACCATCATTCGAAATATGCATTAGATCATGCGCCGAGATGGAGTTGCCACGGCGTCTTCGGAGGCGCACGGCTTCTAGCGACAGACACTGAAGCGCGCAAGCTTCCTCTATGAATTGTTTTTGTGGCTGTGTGGCCTAGTGGTATGATTCTCGCTTCGGGTACGAGAGGTCTCGAGTCCGATTCTCAACACAGCCCGCGATTAGCTGTCTTGCTGCTGAACTCGGCCTATATAGTAGACAAGCATTTAAGATGACGGAGCTCACCGGGACCACGGAATGAGATGTCACTTCAGCTTGCTGGAATGGTCTAGTTGGTTTATGACGATTGCCTAACACGCAGTAGGTCCCGAGTTCGGTTCTCGGTTCTAGTATTGCACCATCATTCCGAAATATGCGTCAGATCATGCGCCGTTTTTGGAGTTGCTACCGCGTCTTCGAGATGCGGACGGTTTCTAGCTGACTGCTCCTGGGGCACCGAAGCCCCTGCTACGTACTCGCCGTTATGGCTGTGTGGTCTAGTGGTATGATTCTCGCTTCCGGGTGCGAGAGGTTTCGAGATCGATTTTCGACTCAGCCCGCGATTAGGTGTCTTGCTGCTGAGGCACGGCCTATATAGTGAGACAGGCATTCAAGACCACGGAGCTCACCGGGACCACGGAATGAGATGTCACTTCAGCTTGCTGGAATGGTCCTAGTTGGTTATGACGATTGCCTAACTACGCAGTAGGTCCCGAGTTCGATTCTCGGTTCCAGTATTGCACCATCATTCGAAATATGCGTCAGATCATGCGCCGTTTTGGAGTTGCTACCGCGTCTTCAGAATGCGGACGGTTTCTAGCGACAGACACATAAGCGCAAGCTTCCTCTGTGAATTGTTTTTGTGGCTGTGTGGTATAGTGCTATGATTCTCGCTTCGGGTGCGAGGAGGTCTCGAGTCCGATTCTCGACTCAGCCCGCGATCAGCTGTCTTGTTGGGAAAGCTAAAGGAAGCTAGCTCATGCCGATGGTAACGCAACCTAGTAGTGAATACAGCATGCACAGGGCATTCAAATACATGTCTCAGACTTCCCAGCGGGGGAATGGTAGTCTAGTTCGCGCTTTATTGCGCCTGAGAGCGAACCCACTCGTTGTGAGTCACCGTGCGCAGTCGGACGAGTACCAACCGGCGGAGCGACCCTGAATCCTTGGCTTTTTGTGCTCCCGTAGCCGCCGACCGCTCCTGTTTGCACAGTGTACAATGCAGTCGTTTGCGGATCATCAGCTGACCATCAGTGGCAGTAGGCTTCACCGTGGTGCACCTAGCCTCTGAGTCTAACTCTTTCTGGTCGTCTTGCGTCTCTGCCGTAACATCAAGCTCGTCATTGCCCTCAACATTGGATGACGCAGCCTTTATACAACCTGCGGCACGCCCACGATTACGTTGACCGGCTGACTTTGTAGCCTTGATCTCAAGGAAGCGTTGCATCTGCCCAGATTTTTCTCCACTCGTCGAATGGTCCATCGTGAACCGGACAGTACCATGGGCCTATTACAGAGCGCCCCTCGTAGATGATGTTTGGCCTGCAATGGGTACCTAAACGGTCCCGTATTCCGTTCATCCGCAATTGTTATTCATGTTGGATGCGCGCCCTACCTTTTCTCGGCTGTTTACATAGTCCGCATTTTGGCCCAAAATTTTTGGGCCTGAAGATACCGTTTCGCCTGGCATTTGCTTCTTGTCTGGGACGGACGTAGGAGGTGGAGGCGGAACGAGTGGCTTGGGCGGTAACCGAGGAGCCGTGGCCTGGCTTGGCTCAGCTGGGGTAATAGGCTTCGTACCAGACGAAAGTACATTCTCCATGTGGGTACGACGAGCAGCCGTGACCCTGTCGGGAACCCGGGCTACTGCTGAGGCCAATTCTGCCTTTCGCTTTGTTATATACTGTTCTATATGCAGTCGTGAGGTATCCAGTAAAGGGGTAGCTGGAGTCTCATTTTTTTGTTCAAGAAACCACATGTAGTACTGCTTATGTACCTCGTCGGCATTCTGTTCGCCGTACTGCTCTATGAGGCCGTCGATCTTGACGCGCATCTGTAATGTATATCGCTCCGGCGGCACCTTGTCCAAGAAGTTGGTATTGCGACCAAACATCCGCAGTTTGGATATACGGCGGGCAGTACTGGAGTTACCGGTCCGCTGCAGATGGCGCTCTCGTCGGACTACGTCGTTATTGTCATGCTCGACGTCAAGGATCTCTATCACTCTATCGATTGAAAGCTCCGTAGCATCCATTTCGAACCCATGGATATCTTCGCTGGCTGCCACCGTCTCAGCTGGGCTTCCTTTCCTGGCCTCATGCAATTCCGCTTCGAGCAGTTCCTTCCGGAGCGCAGCTGTGTACTCCAGAGCGAAACTTTCCCCTAACATCAAGCTGTCAGAAGGACTCAGCTTATTGGCCTCTTACCCGTTTCTGCGGCATTGAGAACAAGATGCGGATACAGGCCCCCCTCGGTATTCGAGGTATGGCGCAGTCGTTGAAGAATATCGTTGTCAAGAAGGGGGTACACGTTCTTGACCCCGTCAACTTTCCTCCTGGTTTTTCGGTTATGACGCGTTATTCCATCGATGACCAGTGCTTGTGTCGCAATATCCCCCACGTTCGATCCACTCAAGTAACTAGCCTGCAGACCGTGTATCCCCTCCAACTGGCTGCTTCCCGCGGTAACACTTGTATGACATCAAGGGGGCCTCTTTTTCCCTTGGAAGTGGACGATGCCTGCCTCTTCATACAAAGGGATACCCTCGGGATCGCTCAGGCATCCCCCGTACGTGGTGCATCTGGTTCTTCAGACATCTCTCGAAGCCATCCGGACCAGGTGGAAGAAGCATCTCACCTTCCCAAACGACATTTCGCGCGCTGTCTACGACACTCATAATTCGAGCCTCCAGCTCCTGTTTTTCCGGGATTTGCCTTCTGACGAACCGGTAGAGCAACCCAGGATTTTTCTTCAATTTGTTTGCCGCTTCGCTTGGGTCAGCGAAGCCAAACGCCACCATTATGGCTTCGATCAGAAGCCGCATATCTTCTTCATTCACTTTAAACAGCGCCTGAATGAATGTGAACACATATTACCATAGGGCTGATATGGCGTTCTACAAATATTCTAAATTACACTGTTATACTGCTATCATGCCGTTCTACACTGTTATACTGCTATCATGCCGTTCTACACTGTTATACTGCTGTCATGCCATTCTACACTGTTATACTGCTATCATGCCGTTCTACACTGTTATACTGCTATCATGCCGTTCTACACTGTTATGCTGTTATCATGCCGTTCTATCAGATATTCTTAATTACACTGTTATACTGCTATCATGCCGTTCTACACTGTTATATTAGTATAACTAGCAGTATAACTTATACTGCTAGCAAGCTGATCTACACTGTTATACTGCTACTATGCCGTACTATCAAACAATCATACTGTTATACTACTATAATCTAGATAATCTCAGCTCCTTACTCTTGACATTTCTTTCATGAACTGTCCATGGCCTGGATGCGTAGTGCGGCTGCAGCTCTTCGAAAACCTCCAGAGAAAATGAAAGGGGTCCAATCTTGTTATGATACCCGGAAACACGCCCTTTAACATAGAGGCGGACCCACCGGTACCACAACAAGATTTATCAAGATAAATCAGCTGAGGATATGGCAGCTGTAGCGAATCTAGCCGCCTTCGAAGACCCTCATACAGCCCCCTTCACCTGCGCATCACCGTCAGTCTCAGTGAAGGCGTGGGTCAGGACTTCCCCAACCTCGTTCATCACAGAGTACGACCATTTGACGCCAGCACTAGGATCAACCTTTCCTGCCAGCGGCCGTGTATGATCAGCGCGAAGGATCCGGCCGGACAGGGCACCCAGCTCTTGCGCCAACCCTTTCTGCTTGTCTTTCCCTGTATGCTCCAGTGTAAGTATCCTCAAACTCTCCCTCGTCATCGATCCCCCAAGACACGTCGTACAGCGGAACCTTTCTCCCCAAGACGTGAAAGATTCCTGTGCGAGAGACCACTTTTTCTCGGCCCTAGTGCGACGTGCCCAGTTCGACAGAATGTTATGGTTAGGGTTCTTGATGCACGGCAGAGCGTTCGACGGATCCTCCGGACATCTCAGCTTCGCCCAAACACTGTTTTGAAGCCGCCAGAAGAAAAAGGGCCATAACTGATACTTACGCAGGTTGGGTGTAACTTCGAGCGATCCGTCTGGGGGATAGAACCAGCCCCCTGGATGATCATGTGGAAGGTCGTCGACAACTGCCCTCATCCATGCCTCCTGAGCTTCTGTTGTTCCGGGCCATCGCTTATCCCCTTCGATGAATGGTATCTTCGGCAGGGAGGGGTCGTCTAAGGCTTCCCATAAGGTTCTTGACAGGGCAGACTTGCCCCTAAAACGGCCATCATTTGTGGACTTGTACCGGCAATCTACAACAGGAGGGTCGTTTCCCCTGTTGCTGGGAGTTTCCGCTGGGTACCACTTAGGGTGGAACCTGTCGGCTGGGGTTTGGCAGCCTCCTTTTTCTGGACTAGGGACTTCCCCGGCAATAGTCTTCGGTGGCTCGTGTATCGGTTCATACTGCTCGAGATCCTCTAGCAAAGAACGCCGCACAGCGGGATCATGGACTCCGAGTCTATTCAATTCAATTTGGGGATTCACGGAGTTAATGACCCGATATTGGCCATCCCCACCTCAGGAATTTTTTCGCTGGGACTTCGTGAGAGGCCCGTGTTGGGCATCTACTTTTTCTCCCCATGAAAATGAAGAATGCCCCGACCTTGCGTGGAAGCTCGTCGTAGAACCGCTCATATGTCCAATCCGCGTCTTTCCGAAACCCAAACTCCACTTATTGCATCGAGTGTAATCCCATTCTTCCGAGCGAGGGGTTGTAGCCGGAGGTGGTCGGCTAGAGGCCGATTGCTTGGGGTCTCGTTTTTTCTTGTCTTGCTTCTTCGAATTTGTTCCTGATCATAGGCCTCAGGGTTCCGACCAGCATTTCTAAATAGAAGGCATCAGTCCGTTCCTCACCTGCGCTGGTGCCCGCATTTGACGCTTGACTTGTTTGAATGGCTCTCATAAAAGGGTCTCTTTGGCCTTGGAGAGCTTCTCGTTCTTCTGCAGCACGCTGTGCTTTAGATGGTCTCCCCCTACCCGGCATTTTGGTCGGTGAAAGTTTTACTTATCAACTAACTGAAGCGGAATTGTGCTGGAATGCCAACCAAAGGCACTGCTAGTCGGGCGGTAGTCACGCTCGCTCGCCCGTGGCGCGTCGCGGAACGCGTCACGGCGTCGCACGTGTCCGCAAAAGCCAGCACCTTTCAGACTCTTTTCACATGATCAAAGTCTTCCAAAGACAAGAATGAAATGAGTTCAACACCCGGCTATTTGATTCTACCGAGAGAATTGGAAAACCTGGTAAAGGAACGAAGAAAAGCTTACATTTGGTCTAAAGGCTGGTCTAGCGGTGGCCTAGCCAACGATAAAACTCAATTTCTGGGCATCCAGGGCACCTTCAAGAAAACCGAAATTATAATGAAATAGAGGACTCCGCACTCCATTTCATGTAAAAAAATCGCCTTCTAAAGTGCCTTGGTGGTTTTTTTATTGTCTCTTTCCCGTCTCGGTGGTCTAGCACAAACAATGGCGCTTGGGTGGCGAGAGGTCTCGAGTTCGATTCTCGACTCAGCCCACGATTAGGTGTCTTGCTACTGAGCACGGCCTATATAGTAGACGGGCATTTAAGATCACGGAGCTCACCGGGACCACGGAATGAGATGTCTCTCCAGCTCGCTGGAATGGTCTAGTTGGTTATGATGACTGCCTAACACGCAGTAGGTCCCGAGTTCGATTCTCGGTTCCAGTATTGCACCATCATTCGAAATATGCGTCAGATCATGCGCCGTTTTGGAGTTGCT